CTACTTTAGCTGGATATTATTCATACTGAAATCAAGTTTATGTCTTTTTAAAGGGAAAAGTGCATCAGTTCTAGCCACCTACTGAGCTAACATATTTCACGCCTAGAGGATTCATCAAGCACCTGGTGGTTTTTCAGAAAGGGAATGAAACCCATGTGTGTTTTCATCAATTTTGAGGGAAAAAATCCTAACCCTGAACAGTTGAAAACTGAGTTCCAAGAAACAAGAAAAAGCCTCAAACCATGAGGAAGTTTTAAAAATCCTTTTTTTTAGGATTCTGGTTTTAGACTCCTAAAGAAATTTTAGAGACAAATTCCAAATATTTCTCCTAACTTAAATGGTAAGAAATCCTAACCCATTTCACCTTCTCAGTAAATTCTTCTTTTTTGTGTTGCTAATGTTACTATTTAACAGTATTAGTGTGAGCTTCCAGGAGGCAGGTGTACACTTACTTCAATTAGCAAGAAGAAAGAAACAGAATTAAACCCATCTTGCTTTACTTCATTCCTTCAGTTTCACAGCCAGGATATTATGCAGCCTAGTGGTCTCTGGGCTGTAGTGAAATTCACAGCTAAAACCCAACAGTTATACCCAGAGAGACTTTAGGGAGCTGTTCTATCCCATTAAGCAGGATGCTTTAGCAGGATGCTTCTTTTCACACCTGAAAGCTGTCCAAGCCATCATGCTTCAGTCCCTCATGATTCTGGAGCTGTCATTCACTGTTGGCAACAGATCCAACAGGGAGCCACATGTGGCATATTACATGGATAAAGCCTCTCGATATTTCTCCTCAGTCCCATGAACCTTCCTCACATGTAGAGTCTGTTTTCTTTTTGTGTCTCATGAAGAACGGCAGCAGCGATTGTGATGTGTGATCCCTTTATGATCTGAATTTATGTTGACCGCATGTTACAGATGTTTGGGGGTTGTATGCATGTAAAGATACTTTATGAGTAATATTTGAATATTACTTCTTATTGTTACTTCATTTGCACTTCAGTGTTTCCTACAAGTTAAGCATTAGTTAAAATCCACCTTGTTATGTGCTAACTCATCAGTAAACTAATGCCTATCCAGTAGTGGATAGGGTTTATCAGTCATCTTTTCCTATGATTTGTGGGTTTGAATGTTGGAAAAGAGTAGCTTCATTTTGGTGCTTTTCTATAAAGGTGTTCTAAAGGTTTTATGTATTAATTAGGACAGGTAATCTTGAGAAAGATAGAGTCACTGCTCTTTTAAATGACTTCAAGCAATTAATGTCCACTGGACAATCCACTGCACTTCTAGGTAGTGGTTCTAGTCATCAGTAATCCTCTCTCTTAAAGATATATAATTTTTTTTACTCTAATTGCATTTGCTACACATCTAGCTATTTAATTTCATCATGTTTATATGGGCAAGACTGGAACCCTCACAACCCTTTGCTCCTTTTTGCCCTCTAAGTTATTTAGAGATAGGACTCTAGTCACTGTTTCTTTTCCCTGCTTGATAATTAAGGTTCTGCTTTTGCATCCTAATGAAGCTCAAGGTTAAAAATTTGAGGCAGCAGGAAGGGCTCTAAGCTGCAGGGAGTAATTTTCCCCTCAGGCCAAGGAAGAGAACAGGTCCATCTCGTGTTGCCTAATGGCGGTGCAGGTCTATCCATTTCACTGGGACGATCAATATTGCAGTGCTGCCCCCAGTTCTGAAGAGGATGGGATGGATCACAAAGTGGCAGATGCTGGGGATTCTAAAGGCACAGTGGTGATATTGAGTTTTCACTATTATGATAACAAATGATAAGAAGGGTAAGAAATTTTTTTATTGTGGTAGAGTATTACCAGTATTAAGGAAAAAGTTAACTGGCAGTAATATTACCTTTCCCTTTTCCCTGATGTGAAAAGGAAAATACAAGCAGTGGCATCTTAGGACTGAGGTCACCACACTCAACCTTGAAATTAGCTGTAATTTTCTATTCTGTAAACTTCCAATTGCAGAGATTACATAGAGAAATTATATGCTTTCCATTGCACTGGAGTCTTCAAAATGAGATTAGGTGTCTTGAAAAGAACACAGAATTCTTTAATTTGACTTCTGTGAAAAAATACATATATAGAATACGTGTAGAGGAAATTAAATAAGATATTTAGAAAAACTTTATGTCAGGTCATTCCAAATGACATAGGTCATTCCACCTATTTACAATTCCACGTATTCCACGCATTTACAATTTTTTAAGAAGTCAGGAGCACAGTAAAGGGTGTAGTACTGTAAGCAGCATCCAAGAGACAGTCCAGCAGTGTTTGGAGCTGTTAAGCTACCTTTAATTTATTCTTAATTCAGATTTCAGTGATGTTGGAGATACCTCTAGAACAAAAATTTGTTTTGACTTTAGTGCTTGTGATACCATAATAGACTGACCTACTTTTTAAAGACAAATGACATAATTATTATTTACAATTAATTTTCCTTCTTATTACTTTAGAGGATATACTTAAATTCCTTTAATTGCTCAGTTACA